ATGTCGTCAACGTAAAGACATAAAATAACATAATCATTTTCGGTGTCTTTGACGTAGACACATTTGTCACACTCGTTAATCTTAAATCAACATTCCATCATAATATTGTCAAATTTTTCGTGTCATTATTTTGGAGCTTGTTTCAAATCATACAATGATTTCACCAATTTGCGAGCCTTCTTTTCCTATCCTGGTGATGAAAAACTCTCGAGTTGTTTTATGTAGATTTCTTAATCTAAATATCCATTTAGAAAAGCAGTTTTAACATTCATTTGATGTACTTCAAGATTTCGTAGAGCAGCAATCGCAAGTATCATCCTAATAGATGTTATTCTCGTCACTGAAGAATATGTGTCAAAGTAATCAAGGCATTCTCGTCGTCTGCAACCTTTTATTACTAATCTGGCCTTATTATTTTCGATTGTTCCATCTGCTTTCATTTTTCTTTTTGAAAATCAATTTGTAGCCTAGTGGTTTACTTTCTGGGGGAAGATTTTCTAGCTCTCATGTATGATTTTACAAAATAGAATCTATTTCACTTTTAATGGTCTCTTTCCACTGAGATCCTTTTGAAGAGTTCACAACTTCTTGAAAGTTTCAAGATTCACTTTCTAACATATATGTCAGAAAATCGGGACCATAAGATTTTTTTGTCCTTTCTCTTTTGCTACGTCTTAGTTCAACCTCAACCTCAACACATGTGTCCGTTTAGAAGATCTTGCTTCCTCTTTGTATCTATATGGAAATACATGTTCGAAGAATGAAATATTTCTTGATTCCATTATCTTGTTTTTGTGTATGTCTAGGATTTTAGATTCATACACAAGAGATCTATACGCACTATTATTATGTGCATAGCCAATAAAGATGCAATCTACAATTTTCGGACCTATCTTTACCTTCTTAGGTGTTGGAACAACCACTTTAGCAAGACATCCCCACACGTAAATATTTATAGGAAGACCTTCTTTCTTTCCATAACTCATAAGATGTCTTTTCCATTTTCTTTCGTGGCACTTTATTTAAAAGGTAATTTGTTGATAATATAGCTTCTTCCCACATGTTATGAGATAACCCAGAACTTACTAAAATTGCATTCATCATTTCTTTTAAGGTACAATTTTTTCTTTCAGTAACACCATTTTGTTATAGTGGATAAGGTGCGGTGGTTTCATGTATGATTCCGTGTTGTACACATAATTCAGTAAATGGTGTTTCATACTCACCACCTCGATCACTTCTCAGTACTTTAATTTTCTTATTGAGTTGATTTTCAACTTCATTCTTATAGAAAATAAATTTCTCTATAACTTCTTCCTTACTTTTAAGTAGATACACATAACAGTATTTTGTACTATAATCGGAAAAAGTAATGAAATACTTGTTGCCACCTTTTTTTTGAATAAGTTTCAAGTAACATACATCACTGTGAATTAAATCAAGTGGTCCTGTATTTTGTTCAGTTGATTTAAATGATGAACTTGTCAATTTTGTCTCAACATAAGTTTCGCACTTGTGGTTGGAATCGATGTAGAACTTGAGTATGCATTTAAAGTTAACTAGTCTACGTATAGTATCATAGTTAATATGTCCTAGTCAACCATGCCACAAGTTGAAAGATTCAAGCAAGTAAGTAGAAGAGTTAACTTTATTCATTTTTTGCTTAACAAGCATTAGATTTAGTTTAAACATACAATTCCGACAAACATTCCACTTTTTGACAAAATAATTTTGTCTGACTCAAATACAATACGGAAATCATGCTTATTCAAAAGTGATCCGGACACTAGGTTCTTGCGGATTTCTGGCATATAGAGCACATTGTTAAGAGTCAGCTCTTTTCCCGAAGTCATTTTTAGAACCACTTTTTCTTGACCCTTGATTTCAGAAGTTGCTGAATTTCCTATGAACAATTTCTCTCCATTCTCAATTGCATCGAAAGTTACAAACAACTTTTTATTAGAGCACACATCCCTTGTAGCACAGGTGTCAATCCACCACTCTTTTGGGTTAGAACTCACCATGTTCATTTCAGACAATTTCGTGTGTTTTGGAACTATAAGACAGACTCTTTCTTCATTTCTGGAATACTAAAAAACTGAGGCTTTACATAGACTTAACCCAAATAACAATAACCATTAGAGTTTCAACAATTTCAAACTTAATGATAATAATCATTGGAGTTTTATAAACCAATAGTCAGTTGTTGAAAGAAAAAAAATAAAATTGACAAAACGTAGGCTATCCTAAGGAGCCAATTTTTGTCAATTCGATTCGACATCGTGTATGCAGGTTGCGCTCGCATACAAGTTCAAGGTCTGAAACTTATTTTGGTTTGTGATTTGCACCTCCATGCGCGCGCACATGGAGAAAGTCTCTATACTACACATGATTACACACTTCTAAAGTGTAGCCATATATAAAGTGCTTCTTGCTTTCATCAACTTCCTATGTAGGATGAACTCAAATTTAGTTTTCCCTTCAACATAAACCATATTCCAATAGTCTACTTTGAACTTCAATTTCTCATTCACCCAAACTTCATTTTTGGCAAGTAAATACGTGATTTTGATGTTCTCACGGAGGAAAATACAAATCAATGCTGATCTTCCAAATTAAGCAAATGAGTTCTGCTCAAAATTTATGCCAAAATCAGCCATCACCTCATTTTTTCCAACACAGTCTCTATATGGGATCTAGCATATTGAGAAACTGCATTTTTCTTCCACTGTTTTGTGTTTCGTGGGAGTTTTTGAAAATGGGAATTAATTGATGTTTGAACATTAGATTGAGGTTGATTAAAAGATTGAGTATGTTAATTGGTGGCAATGCCAACGGCTTGGTGGTGGTGTAGATCTGAAGGTGGGTTGCATAGGTGGTGGCAGGCGCGGAGTGGGGTGGGGTTGTTTTCTTTTAATTATTTTATGTGAAAATTATGAATTTATAATTTTGTCCTTTTAAAATTAGCCAAAACTGATCAAACGAGGTCAATTTTTTTGAGGTCAATCAATGGAGAAATAGTGGAATCTATCCATTTGTCCTTGTGATGCAACGAAACGAAATGTTTGGGATTGTGATTGGTACAAATGAAAGGTTAAAAAAAAAAAAAAGATTTGGAATTGCAACTGTAATTATCCCCATAAATAGAAAAAATTGTAATAGAGGTTTCAAACCTTTGAAAATGTTCACGAGACTTTTATCTTTATTCTTTCGATATTGATATGACTAATTTTTTCAACGAGCTTTCTCTAAATATTGATAAAATCCCTATCAGTAATATACCAGAATTGCGGGCTGCTATATCCCAATTTTTTTGATCTTAGTACTTAAATTCCAAACATTTTTAATTAATGTGCACAATAAGGACATTTGAATGATTTTCGCCAAATATTTATCAGTTGACCAAAAGTCAAATATTTGGCAAGGTGATGGTGTGGAGACGAGTGGACAGGTCAAGGAATTGTTGTTAGTGGCGATTATGATGGAATATTTGTGATGTAACAATCCATTATCTCTTACATTATTTAACTCTCCTCCCCCTCTGTCTTATAAAAATTAAATGAGTTGTGCTGCTGTGCCAGATCTGTAAAAGATCTGGCACAGCCATGTGAGATAGAGTGGGTGGGTGTTTTAACATTTTTGGGGGGTTTTTTTAATGAGTTAGGTCCTCGGGACCCACCTCATGTGAGATAGTCTGTACAAAATCTGTGAACCAAAGTCTGGTAGAGTAGAATAATTCAAATTAAATCACACAATCTCATTATTTTACATAAACTGCCACATCATCAATATTTCATCATCATAACGATAGATTCTTAATTGAAAGGTTAAGATGTAGTTATTAAGATTAAAATGTTTTTAGACTTGTCAACACATTTTTGGAAGATTTGAGATTTCAACCTTTAATTTCCTATAAAATATTTCACAAATCCATCAACATATGTAAGACAATAATAATGTCGACTGCCTCCTCTTCTTCTTCTCTATTAACTTTTTAATTCTCCAATACTTCATTCAATTTAGTGCTATGTCTATCAAAAAATAAAAATAATTATATCAATAAAAACTATGCCACATAGTATGATCTGCATCTAACTTGTTCTACATGTTGTACATTAACACAAGTATCATAGTACTCGTAGTATGAGTGTACTTAACAACATTGATTCTAGCTAGCTCAATCTCTTCAATTTTGACCATACAACCCAATGGATAATCAATTAATCATAACGTTATATGAATTTGTAATAGAGGTGTATGGAAATGTTTTGCTGCGACAACTCTAAAAGTGGAATGAATTTTGTTGGTATCCGATCTCATAACCCTTCTCAATCAGAGGCTTAATTATGAATATTCCATTTAAATATGGTTAAAGAAGCTTAATTATCAAGAATCCTAAATTATGAAGCCAGGTTCGAAAAGAGAAACACGTTGAAATTAAATTGTTCGAAGGTGATCATTGAACAAGTGCATCGAGATACTTGTTGACATTTTCTGGATTGGAATTTACATTTTTTTGAAAAGAAGGATTTCACGTTTTTACATTTTATATTGTAATATTTCAATAAAGTTGTCACTGAAGTCGTTGTAGTATAGTGGTGAGTATTCCCGCCTGTCACGCGGGTGACCCGGGTTCGATCCCCGGCAACGGCGCCAAAAACTTGTCACGCGTTTTATACAACGTGAAAATGCCGCAAGTGTACGGTGTCAAGTTTTGTAATATAGTGATGAAATAGAGAATGTCGAACCCACAGGGATTGATGTACGGGTTCGATCCCCGGCAACGGCGCTTTTTGACAAATCCTTTTTTTTTTTCCATCTCTCAAATTAATCGCCATTTAACCAAACGCGATTTCAGTTCAAGAATGACAGATTGATTCGTGTATGTTTGAGGGACCGCCGCCAGATAAATTCCCCTATAAAATCTCACTTTTTAATTCCCGCCATTTCTTCCCCCTCTCTCTCCTCACTCACACCAGAGAAAATCTGAAGCAAAATCGATGACGAAAAGAAAGGAAGAGAAATCAGAAGGTCTAGAAATCGTATCAATCGGAAAAATCTATTCTGGTCCGTGGGATAAGAAGTATTGGAGCTCATCTCGGGTCCGATTTTTCTCTCTTTCCATCTTCTTTATCTATATACTAAATAATTTTGATCATGGAGCCAATTTCTTTTGTGCCTTTTGGATTATTTAATAATGCGGCGCAATTTCGTTTTTATTTTATGTACTCAGGTTATAAATCTGAAAATAAGATGTTATGTTATCATTTTAGCTCGTAATTTCAGTTGTTGTAAAACCTATTATTTTAATTGAAGACTGGCCAAATGTTTGGATCTACCAACAACTGGCTATTGAAAATCTAGAGAATAAAGTGGAATTGTAAGCATGGATAGGTCAATTAAGTGATGTGCTAATGAAACATTAGTATACCATAGAGCAAGTTGCTGGTGAGGTAATGTCTTATTTTTTTCAATTATACATCATTTGGTGGACTAATTTTTCTTGAAAAAGGAAAAGCTCGAATGCTAATGGATAAGCAGTAGAGAAGATATCTATCCCCGACAAAAGAAAAATGAACTGGCAGATATGAAAAATAATCCCTTTTCATTTGGAATAAATAATTCCATTAGTAGAGGCATGAGGATGTAACATAAGGATGATAATCGATATGTAAATGGCTAAATAATTCTGTTCTGATAACCAGAAGAACTCATAGCATTGGCCAGCGTCAAGGAATGCTTTAAATTTTGATTTCTGTATTCTCGCTGGAAGAGAAACTGAATGTTTTTGATGGGTTAGAAGTCAGAACTAGATTTAGAACTCAACGTGATAATTTCTTCTACTTATGATTTAGTTTTTTCAGCATAATTGCCTAACTTGAATGGATAACGTTCCCCACCCAAAAAAGGAGAAACAACAACTAGAATAAGGAGTATTGAAGTAGGAAAGAACATGCTTACTGTATTGAAGGATAAAATAAATACTCTTGAAATTTCCTTCAAACAGAAGGAAAAGTTTTACCAAGAATGAAGTTTAATGAATCATGCTACATGTACATCTTCGTTGACATTAAATTTGACATCCTTATCAGGTGGCAGCTTTTCAAACATTGATTTAAACAACACTTCAAACAATCAAGGACACAGATTTTGACTACACGTGGAGTGTCAACAAAAATGTACACCAAGTGTGTACAACTAGTTTAATGCAATTAAAATAATCCAAGAAGGAAATTATGATGATATAATCCAAAGGGGCCTATACCCACTGCTGAGGATCTTCCTTTTAGATTTAAAAACAGCAAGAATCAATCAAGAACCCCTTTAGTTCTAGTTGACATGGGAAACTAAAGTCATAGAAGCAACAGCTAAATACATCAGAGAATAAAAACGAAACTGTTATATTTTATAGAGACATAGCTTTATAAATTACCTGCGTAAATTTAATTTCTGTCAGACTTCACCACACTACCAACCTCTAGGATAGACAGATGCCACAATGAAATGAATGAATTTCAATCTAAAGAATTATACTTAATACAGATGATTTAAAAATGGGGCCAGAAAGTTAATGTACAAAAAATATTCTCAGAATTCTAAAGTATCAAAAGTAGAATGCTGTTTTTTTTGGGTCTCAGAAACTCATATTATACTGAATTTCAGAATATAACCTTTAGAATTGAACGTATCAGCACCAATAATTATAAGAAAAGATGCTTAAAAAATATTACTGGCTGAATTTTTTTGTTCAATCATATTCTAAAGACAAATATAAATAGCTTCAATTTGAAATCTGAAATTGGTTTACAACCAATAATAAATTAAAATAAAAATTGGTGTAAGCTGGTAGCCTGGACTCTGGTATAGACATTGACAAATTTTTGAAAAAGCTATCTGTAGAATGCTCGAAAGCTAGAACTTCATTTTAACTTCGGTCCAGACAATTTCACAAGTTTGAAAGTGTTTAACATTCAAAACTTGCACAAATATGTCTGAAACTTAGTTTTAAACTTTTGGGACTACTTTTAGATTTATAAATGAAATTTCTTTCTTAAATAGAATTAGGCCTTATCTGCTGATCCATTTACTTGTGAGGTTTCCTATCTAATAAAATTGACTGAAGAATACCATCTGGTTCCTTATAAGAATAGATCCACAAGTCTGAAAGCCATAAGTGGATTTCTGATATCCTATTGTAGATGTTCTGAAATGGTTCTGAACTGGATCAAATTATAGATTTCTGGAATCAGTTTGTAGAAAATTTTGCTGTATTTAAAGCTGAAACTATTCATTTTGGAAACCTATCAAGTACTAGACACTTAGGCCCTGTTTGAGAGGGATTTAGATTTTTCTACAGTAAATCAATTCTCATTTTTTTTTTTTATAACCGTGGATGTCCGGACCAGCTTGCGCGCACCTTGACTAATTCCACGGGGCCCTGAAGTTTACGGCCGGGTACTCACCTCAGTGGCCTCAAGAAAATCAATTCTCATTTTTAACCACACATTTTTCAATAAAATAATATTTTCCATCACATCAATAATTTTTTCTTCTTTTTCAACCCCACATTTCCCATCATATCACTATTCAAAATCAATTTTCCCCCAAAAATCCCTCCCAAACAAGCTCTTAATGTATGCAATCATCAAAATTTAGATAGTAAGGGGATGCAAGTTCAGTACATAGGTGGTGGAGGCGTCCTCGATAAGTCAGACATAAAACCCATTTAAGAAATGAATAAGGTATACACTCAATTTGACATCCCTCTCACAAAGGGGGTGGGGCCCGTGATTTTTAAAATTGCGGGCCCCACTCCTTTTTGTAAGAGGGATGTCGCCCATGATGTACACCAAGGCTATCTAGCATTTCTCTTAAGAAATTATCTATGGTTCGTGCATGCAGAATATTTTCTAGTATGGTCCCCGATTTTATGGATGTCAATTTCCTAATGTTCATTGAATTAAAATGAGGAGGTGGGGATGGCTATATTTCTAAAAACAAAAATTCAATGAAACATCAAGTATGTAGATAAAAGTTATGCCTCGGTACCAAAGAATGAAGATAATTACAAATCCACTATTCATCAAACAGGGAATCCTGCATCTGATAGAGGTGGTTTTTATAGATTGTATTTGTGTGCATGTGTGTGTGCGTTTGAGAGAGAGAGAGAGAGCTCCTTATTGAAGTAACATAGAATAGTAGCTACTGAACTCTAAGGCACAGCTGGATTTGCTGTCATAATAGACTATAATTAAGCAAAAGAGATAACTTCTTAACATTATTTAGATACAGAGAGTCACAGCCATTTCTATACGAGTTGTTTGTTTTATGATATATGACTACGCAATTTCCTATTTGCTCATTTTTGGTCACTTTGCAGGGTAAGGACAGGTGTCCTTATCCTATTGGATACAAGATCTCGCGAACTCTGAATGGGGTTACCTATAAAATGGAAATTCTTGAAGGTCTTAAAGGTCCATTGTTTATGGTTAGTAGGCATCTTAACCATGTCAAATTACATCCTGCAAAGATATTGAATGAATTATTGGTTAATAAAATTGAGATTTCACATCCTTTCTAGATCATGTCTAGTGATGGGAAATCATGCTCTGGACAAACTCCAGATATTGCATTGGAGAGCTTTCAGAAGAAAAGTTGTTCTCGAATCAAGTCATTGCATGGGAAGAGGTTCTCATGTAAGACAGATGGTTTGGAGGTAGGTCATATGCCTTTTCTTTTATTTTCTTTTGTGTTTGAAATGATTAAAACAGTAAAATTACATTTTTATTATTCTTGTTTGCCTTGTGTTACTAGTTTGAAAATCCCTTTCAGGCTAAGTAATATATAACACCTTTGGACTAGGCTGATGTTGTATAGCCTGAACTTATACTTCTTATCCTCTGTACAAAATGAAAATCCTGGAATTGTCAACGTGGTAAAAGGATTCATGATTTATGCTTGAGTTTTGATAAAAAGTGCAAGCAAGCAAATCATTGTAATTACTCTTGGAGTGCATAAAATAAAAGTTTGGAGATATCAAATGCAAAGGTGTGTTGGAGTACATCTTTTATTCGTTGCCGAAGTAAAATTTAATTTATCACAAAATAGAGAATGAAATATGAGAGTCTATATACTATTAAGCAATATTCGAGGAAATGCACTTGGAGATATATTAGAAATCTAGAATTTGATTCCTGGAGATCTCTTCTGTTCCAACTTTGATCGCAACGACTTAGATAAGTACAGGGTAGTTGGCTAGCAATGTTCTTAGCTGTGCAATCAAAGATGGAAATGGGCTTGATGTTGGCATTTGGTTCTTTGGTTCGCACTACAGTTTTCCTCCTTTTTGTTTTTTTGTCGCTTGTATTGCTATGGCCTTGGCAACCATTTATGCAAGCTAAACCCTACAACTGTGGATTATGTATATGCTATTCTTCTACACTGGAAAATTAGTAATTAATTTTGAAATTTGGGAGCATTAAACTGACAGCACTTTCGTATTCTGGTCATCTAACATGTCATAACTTTCAGTAGATATTTCAAGTGTTTCGTGGTCAAATCTGTCGAAATGGTTCGAACCAAACAAGGCCCAACCACCACAGTATATGAATATCTGGAAGAGAGTCCTTTCCCTTTGTGTGCACGCGAGCTGTATTGCTTTCTAGGAGAACATAATGGTTATCTTGTTTCAGATTCTAAAATTTTATTATTAGAGGAAACAATGTAGTAGACGACTTCCCAACGATTAATCCATTATATAAAATAAGAAGCTTGGCAATTGGAGGAAAAGCTTCTTCTGGAGACTTGTCCACCAGACGCTAATTCTGTGCTACTCAGTGATGAAGTTATGTTCTCTCTATTGTCTGTGAATATTATCCTTCCATTTTTCAGGCACTGTTCTTTTCCTAGTTTTGTATTGTATCATACTGTTTAGTTTCTATATAGTTTGTGTTGCAGTACAACTTTGAATGTTAGCTAACAACCAACACATTTAGATTGTAATATATCCAATTATTTCCCCTAACGTACTCGAATTTTGCTTGAGGGTGCATAACTAATACATTGTTAACCTTTCCTTTCTTTTATGTAATATGCAGTTTTTTGGATTCAAAAATGCGTTTGTTCAGAGGTTACTGAGAGAATTGGTAGCAAATGATGGTGGAACTGCAGGACAGAGTTCTTCAACATCTAACTCCCGTATTGAAGCTTCTGATACAGTACACGAAATACAATGTACAGAACCAAGAAAACATCCTGATTTGCTGCCAAACTCGGAAAAGCCACGGGTTACAGGGAAGGGAAGTAGTAAGGGCAAAAATATTAAAGTTAAGCCTCTCATTGAGGCAAATTTTGAACAACATCAGCCTCAAAATTGTATGCAGAATGCTGAAGCTTCAAATACTAGACAAAGGGATCAGAGAAATCATGATAATGACAATCCTTTGACTTTTGCTGCTTCAAATAAAGTCTGTGGCATTAGTAATAGTTCAGAAGTTACAACAGGACCTAACTCTGAATCCGTGGTAGAGAATGAAAAATGTCTGTTTTCAGCAGAAAGAGGACTGCAGTCACATTCTACGGATATTTCTGATCACTTTAAATTAGGAGATCTCCTCCCCCAAGAAACAGAGCTTATTAATTCTGAAAACCATTTGAGCAAAATGGCAGTTGACGTGCCAGAAGGCAAAGAACTTGTGAGCTTGTAAACCACTCTTATTTTAGATATATTTGTCACATCTTTTGCATTAACTTTTATTGCTTACTTCTTTCGTATGCCTGTAAGTTAGGACCACAGAATACTTAAGTTTCTGAAAACATTTCCTTTTTTAAGATCAATAGCATATCCATAAGATACATATATACCTGGCACGCACATACAGAGAGAAAATATTACACCTGAAAGCTGGAATATACTTTTCTTTCCTGCTTCTGGCAGATTTGTGGAAACTTAGTAAATATTAAATCAGTTAAGCTCATTGCTCTTAATGTCTCGCAGCCAAATTTGACAACAATTACTGAGGTTCAAGAGTTCAATAACTCAATACCGGAAAATGAGGATGGTGTAACACTAGTTCAGCATGACAAGCCAATATTCAATACCGATTTTTGTGCACCTGACACATTTGATATCGCAGGAGGTCGTAAAGCTCTTATCATTATCTTTTTGTCAGAATGCACTTGGCATTTTTTTTTTTTTTGCACTCTCATGTCATTGCTAGAGCTTCAACATCAAATTGCATCCCACCCCCTTACCAAATTTATAGGTAAATGATGCTTATTGCCTTTTGCAGACAGTTTTTCTTACTCTGATCCAAACGAACACATGAAAGTTAATTGCAATGCCAGAGATGACACAATTGCCACGGATGTAGCGATTTCTGAGGTTTTGGTAACTGATTCACTTCCGGAAGATGAAACAGGAACTTCAAATGCAAGCTCTGAAAAGAGTGATATTGATTCAGTTGGTCAAGAAATAGCAAAGTCAATGATGACTGTTCTTCTCCCCCGAGCACTTCCTTTGCTGAAGACATTCTCAAGAAAGAAAAAGAAGAGCACGACACCTTCAGAAATGCCTCTCTATATGCAGAAGGAAAATAATACATCTGTTGGTTTTGGTAATACATCAATTGGTCATTCTAACCCTATGAATAATAAAACTTGCCTCTTAATATTCTTATTCTCTGGCACAGTTGTTTCACTGCATCTCCATGTCCACTCTTCAGAATTGCAGCAACAGCATTTCATCTAATTGAATTTTCTTGCAAATTTTCAGTCAGAGAGCACATCAAAAACTCAAATTTGGAAAGAGCCTGTACAGGCTATGATTCAATTGTCTCAACTTCTGGAATCACTGAATCTGTAGTTCCTGATAGTTTTGATAACGATGAAAGTAGATGTACTTCCATCAATCAGCATAATTTGTTTCCAGATACTGCAAAAGGTTTTGAAGCTTCATTTCTGTTAAACAATTTTGGGAATCAGACTCTGAATCTGCCAGTCTGTGTTGATGCAGAAGAAGACTCACCAGTTCGGCCTATTGCAGTGAGAGATCACGAGATAAATATGCATTCTCAATTGCAGATGGCTGTAAATGAGGAGCCTCAAGAAGGTGAGATTCCATATCTAAATCTGCAATAGCTTTCATAGTACCCTGTTCAAAGGAATCTGCATAGACATTAATGAAAATTAAACTTGTTAGGTTGTTGGAATATATGCTTCCTGATTTGAATACTTTTTCTTTTTTGATTGTCAATATATTGTTTTGTGTAGATTTTATTCTTTTAGTTCAGAAATAGGATCAATCTGCTCACTCAGCATGTTAACAGAGTAGGTTGGGTTTTCTCTTTATTTCTCTGTCTTTAGTCTATTGAAACAAAATTTGGACGTAAGATTTTTTATTTCTATACTGCATTTTAAGTATTCAAGATTCAAAGTTATATAGTGTGAAGAAGGATTAACATAAATAATGTGGATTTTGAAGAAATTATAAGATGTTGAGTATGCTGTCATTCTGATGAGGTGATTGCACATAATAATTTTTATATTCTGTATGAACAGACATTAGCACAACTGGTTCTAACTTAATGGGCAAAATTAGTAGTTCTATTCGACCTCCAGCAGAGGAAATCAATGTCAACTCCAAGCGAGCCAGGGTTTGCCGTAAGTCCATGATCGAAGCACCTACCTCTGCTGCACCACAAATGAGATGCGCCCCTTTCACTGAACATACATTATGTAGAGACTTCAAAAATGTTAGTTCTACGGAGGTACGTGAAAACATAAATACTTTGCTTGCTTCATTCATCTTCATTGGAATACTTCTAACCAATGCACAACTGAAAAATTATCATTAAGAACCTGGCAGTGATTTTAGTTTACTTTTTCATGTCTACAGAAATCGGAAGCTAGTTTTGCCAAAAAGTTTCACAGTGCAAATTTCGCTGACTTTGATAATTCATTTTCATTACTGCAAATCCCGAGTACTAGTTGTCGCAACGTCGTTAGTGAAAACAAGGAAATGAAAGATGATCCAAGGTCAAATTTTCAGGGGGACGTGAATTTAAATGACAAGCCACAGGGTCTTCTCAAACGCGTTGCATGCTATAACCACCCTATGCCAATTTCAATGGTGCTGCTGACTGTAAAAGAGAATGAAATATACATATGTGTTATATGTGGCTCGCTGGAGCAGAAGGAGAGTACCCTCTTTGTTTACAAGGCACTAAAGAATGCAGAAAAAATGGGGTTCCCTTCATTTGTTGGTCACGCATCAATAGAATTGCCCTCTTACAAAGATGCCTTTGGTAGAGACGTAAGATAAACATTGCATTGATATACTGCTGCATTAACTAGGGTTGCTTATTGAGCTTATGTAACTACAGCTTTCTTTATTTCTTTTTCTTTTTTTTTCTTTTTTTTGCAGATTGCTATAGACAGTTCTAGATTACAGTTCTCTCCAGATGCACAATCTCTTGTTTTATTAAACAGTATAAAAACTCCTTGCTGCAGGTTTTTGTTAATTTTTTTTTTTTAAGCTTATGAAAAGTTCTATTCCTGAAACTTATGTAATTTTTGATGCATTGATTTTGCATTTATATCCCAGGGAGGGCAAATTGCACTGTTCATGTCCACACTGTACTTCCGAATTCTCTGAAAAAAATGCAGTAAAAATTGTGCGAGTACAAACTGGTTATGTTACAATTGAGACTATACTGAGGACAACACAAGGAGTATGTTGTTTATTAGTTTGTGAACCTAGTTTTCTTCTTGCTGCTGAAGAGGGTGGAAAGCTGAACCTTTGGGTCATGAACGCTAGATGGAGGTGATTTCATGGTGTCCAAGTTTTTATTTTGTTTTTGGTATGATTGAAGATTTATTTTTCTTACGTGACATAAATCTAACTAATCATTCCTATATTCTGTTAGATACTGCTGGTTCCGCATTTTAATAAAATATGCACATCAGTTAAAATTATATTGCAACATTAGTTTTTGACATGCTGTCTTTCAGTTTCGTTTGGTTGATGCAAAATCTTGTCTCGTCGATACCCGACAGGACCCATCAACTTCTCTTTCTATCAAGTCTGGTGTTGCTTAGTATAATTTCTTGATTCTCAACTTGCAGTGCCCACAAAGAGGAAAGCAACTTACCGACACTTGACTGCGTGTTTCCTTGTCTTGTGGAATTGAAGAGAATTCCAAAGTCAACTATTTTGGTTGTTGGCCACAATGGTTTTGGGGATTTTGGTTTGTGGTATGTTGCTTTTCCATCAAAAGATTTGGATGCCTCCTGCTTTCTCTAACTCCACAAAAAGTTTAAAAGATCTTCATAACTGCCAGTAGGTGAAAATTATGGAGGGAATTTTTTTTATTGACTCTTCTACATCCCTAATCACCATAACATTGCATTTTTCGAAAGTTATATAAAGATACTCTTGAAATATCATCAGACAAGAATAACTAATTTTTGCAGGTAGGGTTGTTTATCTGTGTTCAAACTCTTCTGTAGTCACTGTAAATCAATCGCTTAATAACTTATTATTAGAAAAACTGGCATACATATCCTGCTATATTTAAAAATTTATATTGCACCATTTTTACATCGTTGGTTTTTTAGAAGTACCAGATCAGATAAGTTTGATGTCATTAGATACTGTTTTGGTGCCTTGTTGGGCTGCAGATGTGATTAGCCATCCCTCTTTTCCTCTTAGAACTTGAGCATATGACTATCAGCTCGACAGAAATCTTTGGGATTTGTTATTTGATCTTAAAATTATTTAATTGCAGAGCTTTGGAAGGAATTTATTCTCTGCACTTACTAATTTGAAGACTTGCATTTTGAGTCAAATTTTTCTTAATCATTTTCCTAAAAGAAACCTCCTTTCTTTGATATTATGATTTCCTCTGCGCCACTTCAACTTTTCAACCCCACATTTCAGCTACTTTTATCAGAATCTACTAAAATTCTAATTTTTCTCCAAACCAAATAAGGTTCAAATTATAAGACTCTTTTCTTTCTTTTTTGGTACAAAGATATATCATGCCAAAAAAGAAGACATGTATCTTGATTTAGTTCAAAACTGCATATGGCGTTTGCTGTTTATTTGTTATTTATCCTCTTATAAGATGCTGCACGTCTGCCACATTTTTAAGCTATTAGTTATTCCTTGGTCAATGGCTTCTTTTTGTATTTTCTACAATTACATCGACATACCACAAGATTCCTTTTCTCTCTCTCTCTCTCATTTTTTTTTTTCCTTTCAAATTGAAAATAAAACAATTATAAGGAGATGAGATTACTAGCTATGCACTTAAGCCTTTTTCTTTTGCATTTTTCCAATATTCTTGAAGGATACAGTTCCTATTTTTGTGCAGGGATATTGATAAACGAATCCTGGTTTCAAAGTTCTCTGCCCGTGGCACTTTTATTCACTGTGTTCCAGTTGGCATGTTTAGATGGCAAAGTAAAGGAGAGCATAACAGTAAGAAACTCACTGATGAAATCATGATACGTTGTTTTTACACCAAAAGTCCAATGGGCGAAAACCATATTCTTCCAGTGCAGAATAAAGATATGGCCGTCTGGCTTCTAATCTCTACTCTCTCAGATACAAATTCTCAATGTTGTCAATCAAGTGGCGGTGGGCAAACAAACCTAGCTAGATGTTGGAGGCTGGCTTTATTGGTGAAGAACATGGTGATCATGGGAAGAACTTTAGACACGGGGTATTTTCAAGTCTTTTTATAAGTAGCAATTGAAGCCTAAGCTACAGGTCCCTAATGACAACCTCGAAAGAGAATTTTTTTTTTTTTCTCTTTCAAAACCTAGTTTTAAGTAGTTCTTGTCTTTCTTAAGATGCAATGAAGATTTTGTTCACTTAGCTATAGCTATTTTAATAACTTCTCCTCTCAGGATTGCTGCAGTTGCAACTGTTCGTGGAATTTTTGGTAGATGTGATGGACTGGTCTACACGTGGGATTTATCTACAGGAAATATGCTTGAAAACTTGCATCACTTCAAAGGTAGAAATGGGAATTCGTTGAATATGCTCTTTTAGATGAGAGATGTGTTTATTTTCTGAAATTCAAATAATTTATAAGTTCGTTCTGCGATAGTGGCTTTATTTCTTATACTTCAACATAAAAACAATGTTCATCCAATCCATTCAACATGCGATTTGTGCAAATAACTCCTTTTATCATAGATCATTCATCTCTAATATTCTAATGTTACTTGAATACTATAAATGTAAGACACGCTGTTGCTACTTCTCCATAGCATTCTTACTACAGTCAATCTATACTCATCATGTAACCCAGAAACCACTCAGCAATTTTAGGCTCAATTAAAGATAAATGATAACTTATAGAATTAGCATTTTTCCTTGCTTTCCTAAATGAATCTCCATTTTTCAACTTACTTTATGTTTTGAGAGTGAGAAGTGTGTGAAGTAGGGAATTCTCTTTGCACCATTAACTTTTCTGAAGATCACAATGCTCTTCAGACTCTTTAAAGATTTCCTTACAGAACACAACACGATGAATTATTTGCTGCTCCAATAGCTACCCATGTTTTGTGATCGTATCTATTGCAAAAGCACTCGTGTTAATTAACGCTTGCAAACATCCACAGACTGCTCCCCCTCCCTCTTGCCTTGTGTTGGCTTGCCTATGCGTATAATTAACTTCTCAAATTTCCTTTTCAGGTACCAGAGTGTCTTGTATTTCCACCGACAACACAGATTCTGGTGCTTTAGCTATAGCTAGTGAAGGTCAATTGCTGGTTTATGTGCGATCTTGAAGCGTTTCTTCAAAGATCTACTGACTCAGGTAGCAACTCATAGTTCTGTGTACAACAGTAAAAGCCTTTTAACGCCTTTAAGACTGCATCTGATTATTGATGTTGGGTGTATCGTTAGTTAAGACGGTCGAGAAATTTTTTGGAAGCTAGTAATAGTTCTGCCAATGGAAAGTTGCCTTCAGGGCAGTCTCCAGATATTGTACGCAATAGGCTACCAATCGGTCAACCATCTCTTCGAAACTCCTTTTTTCTTAATTTCAATATCTTCGTCCTATAATTTAGCTTGAATGCTAAAAAAATGTAGACAGAAATCGTTGATTTTCCTTAGTCAAGAATGATGTACTTAAAGTGAATTATGAGAATGCTAAAAAGGAATTAGTATTTAGTAGCAAAATTTTCATGGAAACTATACAATTAGAATAACAATTTTATATGGGGATTTGGAGTTTTCTCATTTTTTTTTTATTTTTTTTTTGAAAGAAAATGGATTACAATGAAAAGTCAAATTTTAGTGTGAAATTTGAGTCCAGTTAAAACCAAGATTTAGTCAATACGAGTAAAAAACAAAAAGATTAATAATAACCCGTTTGGTTAATTGCTGTGGCTTATGTCAAAAGTAGAGCCTCGATTTCACATTGTAACTAATTATGTCAACGAGCCGAGCAAAGCAAAGCTTGGCCAAAAAAATAAGGTTTGGCCCGAGCTTGTGCGAGTCGAGCCCGGACCAAGCCATTCGGGTTTTTTTTTTTTAATGTCAAATCTATATTTTTACTTAAAAAAATTTAAATTTGTACGATTTATACGTACTATAAATTAAATAAAAAAGTCGAGCCTAAATCCCGGCCAAAAAAATGAGGCTCGGTGTAATCGAGCCCGAGCGGGGTTCGGCTCGAGCTTTTTCCGAGCCTTCGAGATGAGCCCGAGCCGCCCAAGTCAACGAGTTTTTTTTATCATTCCTAATTTTAACCATGTATTTCGGAAATTTTCGCTCACTTTTTGGTCTTAGTTATAGATTTAGATGTGTTATTACAAAATTCGTTGAAAATTAAGCACAAGAATGGAAATTATATATTTCAGTGCAAGCACAACGCATTTAAATATACACATATTAAGGAGTTGTAAAGGGAAATAAGTTGGTCTTGGCCTGAAACAAATCAAATTAGTGTTTAGCGGTTCTAGTTTTACTCTTTCCACTTTTGTATATTCACATGAAAGATTTCGTGAATCAATGACTGCATATGTGGCTGCAACAAAGATGCCGCTTACGATGATAGAGTCAATATATTTTACTCGTCTTGTGCAGAATTATCTCTAATTCGGGTATACTTCTTATTGTAGAAATACTCTTGTTCAGATAGTATAAAATTATATAACAAAAGAAAAAAAAACTGCTATTGAAAGTCTAGAAATTTTTATTACTGTTATATAGTTTACCTATGATTTATGGACCGGTGTTAATAAAAAAAGTTATATTGCTAATATAGCTCATTACATTGATCACCTATGAGTTATGCATAAAAGGATTATTGCATTCAGATATTTAGAATATTCTCATAATACCACTAACATATACATGATTTTAAAAGATATTATACAATAATATGATATACAATAAATTGTTTGAAATTTTACTTTTGATAATGCTACTATAAATAAAGTTGTTATCGAAAAATTTATTAATGATTTGAATCATGTGTTTGGAAGTTTATGTTTTCATCAACGTTGTGTATGTCACATTATCAATTTGATTGTAAAAGATGGATTGGAACATATAAGATTATCTTTAAATAAAATTAGACAAGTAATAAATTTTATTACCATGTCGCTAGCAAGAAAACAATCATTTAACAGTTTGTGTGCAGAGTATGACTTATAAGAAATAATTTGTCACTGATGTAACACATAAATGAAACTCTATATATCTAATGTTACAGTCGTATGAAAATTATGATAAATTATTTCAATATATTATAATCGTATGCATACATATGGATCCGAACATAATTTGGAAGATTGAGAATGGTCTCTAGCATTTTGTGTGAAGAAATTTTTAGAATATTTTTTCATACGGTGTTTACTTACATCGCCAGTTTATTACCCTACATTTTCACTTGTTTTACAACACTTTTTCTTCATCTTATAAATATAAGAATTTGCCAATTTTTGTTGATATGGTTTATTCTATGGAATTAAAATTTCGTAAATATTGGGAAGAGTTGCCTTCTTTATTTCTATTAGCTTCGGTGATAAACTCTTGACTTAATTTAATTGGTACAAAAGCTATTGTTAAGGGGATTTCAAATTTTATGAATGTAGAATTATCAAATGTGCATATAGAATTTATGTTATGTGAAATGTGTAATTATTACGTAGAAAAATGAGGTTAAGGTAGTTCTACTTCCCAAAGTTCATTTTCAAAAAATATTTCAACAAATTCAGATGATCTATAAAATTATTTAGACACCAATATCAGTGTTTTCTCATTTAGTTCTAGTTCATAAATATCTAGAGTAATAGATGTCAGTCATACAAATCTCGAAATTCACTCTGAGTTAGCTAGGCATATGTGCGTGGACATTCGTAGTGTGTTACAACCAAACGAATTACAGGAATTTAGTCTTTTATCATGGTAGAGATGTAGCGAAAGACAATATCCAATTGTATCAAAAATTGCCCGCGATCTACTAACACCTTTGGTGTCTCCAGTATCATCGGAGGTTGTATTTAGTTTAGGTGATCGAGTTTTATCAGACGAACGATCAAAACTAAAAGAAGATATATTGAAAACTTTAATATACTTGAAGGATTGAGAATGTGCGTAATTACGTATTCAAAAACAAATCAACAGTATAATGGGCAAAAATTGTAGTAGATCTAATGATAGGTTATTGTAAATTTTTAAACTGATCAGTTTAAAAAAATACGTAATTTTTAAATTTCTTTGTTTTAAGAAAAATTGTACACGAAATATTTTATTCATTTACAATTTTAACTTCGCCTAAGATGATTGTAGCATGTCCCAAACCTGAAAAAAGGAGTATTGTAACTTTTATTTAATTTATAATACGTATAAATTGCACAAATTTTAATTTTTTTAAAAACAATTTAGATTTGTTATGAAGAAAAAAAAAACGAGTCGGCTCGGCCCAAGCTGAAAGCTCGGGTCAAGCCTAAAATTTTTGGCCGAGCAAAGGTCGGGCTAAAAAAAGCCAGAATCATTTTTGCTCGAGCCAAGCCCGAGCTTTGAGTTTCTGCTCGTTAACACCCATGGTGAAAGTGAAAGGAAATGGAAAGGGTATGCAAGATATCTTATTCACTTGTGAACAGTTAGAAACCAATGAGTAGTGGAGAACCAGTTCGAGAAAAATACGTGTGAAATTTCATCCACCAGAATGAATAGTAACTAGCTGATTATCTCTTTTAAGGTAGTGTAGGAATACAAGAGTACATGAATTATTTATATTACAGGTTGTAGTAAGAACGTGAAACATTGATGTTTGACAGAAGAATAGAATTCCATAGAAAAAAATGAATTATGCTATTTGAACATAAAAAATAGTATATCGAGGATTACATAAAATGATATAGAGAGAGAAGATTGGATATAAAAGTTGACTGTATTTGAAATTGAAAAATGGTAGAGTTGACATGTGACATTACATAATCAGTAGCAGAGTAGCACCTGACGAGCCAGCGCGGCCGCCCTTGCTTGGAAGGTAGATCGACAAAAAAAATAAGGAAGTCAGATTGGGAGGTAGCTAGATTTCTAATTTGGGCTTAAACTAGATCTATTTATTAAAAGCCCAGCAGCTTAAGGGGCAAATTAGGATGGATAGTGTATTCCAGTGACTCCCGTCCCTTTCCATTTCGTTTCATTATTAGTGTTAGGATTGATACCACTTGTTGTGACACCAATCACCAGATTGAGATGTTGAAGTTATATGAAAAATAATAATGAAGTATATGATCAAGTAAAAGAATAAAAGAAGACAAGAATATGACAGAGGAATTAAGAGATTTTATTGTACCAAGAATAATGGAGAAGAGAGAAAATTATAATAGATCATATAATTCTAGTAATCTATTTTCTCACATGTCATTGTGTTACTAAATTGTATAGAAGAGCCAAATATTTATAGGGAACGTGTAGGGGACGTCCAAGACATCTTGGTAGAGTTGTTGATGAAGTAGAATGCCCAAAATACGAGTCCAAAACGAAGTAGGAAACAAAAAACAGAAAAATCCCGAAACAGGTTACTGTAGGCGCTACTGTAGCAGCGCTTAGGCGCTAGGTTTCGGGTTAATAATCCAAAACATGCTTTCAAAGTGTTTTTCTCCATTTCAAACTCTTTTTCAAGTCTAATATTAATTTTCAACTCCCAATGGGCTTCCAAAATAGAACTTCAACTTGATATAGGAGTCCAATAGCATCCAAAATTGAATTCTTCTTGATGTTCACTACAATTAGAATTTTTCAATATTTCAAACAATGAATTCGGGTTCAACCTAAATTCTAACAATCTCCACCTTGACATTAATTTCACCAAGAAATGAACTGACTTCTTCAACAATAATCAAAAAATTAATTTCTTCAACCAAACAAAAAATATTCCACCTCTTTTAATGAATCCAAACACTACTCTATAGAATTACACCAGATTCCAAAAAATCATAATGAATTTATAATTTACCAAAATTGACGATAACACACCCCAAAGCAGAATCAATATCAAATGCTTTTACAGAAAGCTCCTTGCTAGATTGTACACCCTCTACTCCACTTAAAGTATGATCAACAAAATCAACATCCACATACCTTGTTCCATTGGGTCTAACTCTAACAACTGAACACAATGGCACCGCAGGTGATGGTGGCATAGCGGTATTACCCATGTCTTCAAAACTCCACTGAGTTGTATTCTTCAAATCTTACCATTTATGAGCTCCTGAACGTATTGTACCAAACTGAATGTCCATCACGGTACTGAACCTGTGCTGAT